AACCGACACTGAGATCGTTAACTCGTCTATCAAGAGGGGTTATTATGACAAATTCTGTTTGATCCATATCCAAAACCATTGCGAAGATTTTTAAACCATTACACAAACAGACAAAAATTATGTCTATTACTTTATTATGTATTTAGTTGTATATTATTTATGAATAGATTTTGTAAAAAAGGAAACAAAAAAAAAATATATTTTTGTTGTTATTATACTTAGTTGGCATTCCTTGGGAAAGCCCAAGGAATACCGCCGTTTGAAGATTAGAGAAATTGCAGCAAGGCTTGGGCTCTCTAAGAGTACCGTTCATCGCGCGATCCATGAAGATTTCTTCACATGAAAAAAGTGAGTGCAAGATGGGTACCGAAACTTCTTTCAGCGGTACAGAGACAGGAAAGAGTGCGCTGCGCTTCGGAGTTTTTGGATCTTTGTGGCGAAAATCCAAAGACTGTGATCGAGCGGCTAGTGACTGGTGATGAAACTATGATCTTGTATTATGATCCACAAAGCAAGCGCGAGTCAATGGAATGGCGTTATAAGGGTGAAAAGCCCCCTAGAAAGGCAAAGGTGCAACAATCGACTAAAAAACTGATGTGCACAATATTTTGGGATTTTCAAGGCATTTTGATGGTGGATTTTAAAGAACGTAATACAGTCGTGAACGGCGAATATTATGCTTCTTTAATATATAAATTACGAGACAAGATAAAGGAAAAACGAAGAGGCAAGCTGTCTAAAGGTGTCCTGTTGCTCCATGACAACGTCCCTGTTCATACCGCTGGTGTTTCGAAGGATGCAGTTCGTCAATGCGGGTTCACAGAAGTTCAACATCCACCTTACAGTCCAGACATGGCCCCGTCCGACTATTATTTATTTCCAAATTTAAAGCGGGACTTAAGAGGAAGAAAATTTTCAAGCGATGAAGAGTTGCAGGCAAAAATGTGATTATTTTTATAAAGGTTTAGAGATGTTGATTCACAGATGTCAGAAGTGTGTTAGCATTCATGGTGATTATATTGAAAAATAAAATTGGTTTCGTTTCATTTCCTTCATTGGTTCATAGTTAGGCCAATTCATTATGGGACCGCCTACGTATATGTTAATATATATATAATATAGGGACAAAAGGTTCACGGGTGGTAGTCTCGTACCAGTAGGTGAAGTGTAGGGCGACCCCCTCCCCCACTAGATGGAGTGACAACTTGGTAAAACATGCAGGAAGTCGATGGATGCAGGTGGCTCAGGACCGTGCTTTAGTTCCCTGAACTATGTTCAGCAGTGGACGTGAGGGCTGTAATGATTCATCAACAACATTATCATTACCTTCACAGTTCTATTGCTGAAAACCTAGCTGTCTGGATAGGCACCACCCGTTTACCTGTTTTTGCCGCCAAATAACAGTGACTGCACTTCAGTGTTACAGTCTAAAGTAAACTGAGACTCAGCCTATAAATACAAGCTGTGAGAAATTCCATCTTAGTCTTCAGAAGTGACTATAGGTTTTTTTTTATACGAAGTTAGATGTAAGTGTCCAAAGGCCGCAGTAGCCACTTACCATCTGTTGGACTGTAGACTGTAAGTTCGCTCGTCACTTCAAAATCCGTTGTGTTATATCGATTGCTCTGGTTCTACTGCGAATATCACAATAATGGATTTTGTCATGCAGTGAAACTCCGAGGATAACCCTCTTCATAGCTCGCTGACCGACCTTGAGCTTCCTCATGCGGCCAGCGATGAAGGACCATGTCTTAGATCCATATGTCATGACTAGCAACACGCACTAGTTGTACACCCTTATTTTCAAGGTTTGAAGATTACGTGGCGAGAAAATGTGGGGTAATCTTCTAATCCACAGTCCAACCGAGTTGGATTTGTCGTTTGACCTCTCTGTCGAAATTAGACTCACTGAGTCACCTGTTGATGAATCCACCTTGACAATTTGTCCAGGTCGATTCATCAACAACTTTGAGCGTAGAGTTAACCCAACTACTACCATCATAGGTACAACGTGGATGTTATTCATAACCTTTCTCTTATCCATGTTAATTTTAAAACCTTCTGTTGGGAGACTATACTGAGGTCATTGAGTATAGAGCTAAAACTCTCCAGCGATTCTGGCATAGTGACTATATCGTCGGTAAATCGAAGGTGAATGATGTACTCGCTATCGATGCTGATACCGTATCCTAATAAATCCATTCGCTTGAAAACGTTTTGCAATATAGAAGTAAACAGTTTCGGGGATAATTACTTCACCCTCTCTGCAATCATCAAATCTTGTCTATTTCGTACTCCATTTAATGTGCACTCGGGTAGCCATCGTAGTTCTAGTGTGTAAACACTTCAACACCTCAATATACCGACAGTCGATCTGGCACCTCTGAAGGGACTTTATTACGTACTCTATTATGCATTTATTACGGTTGTATACTTTATGCATAAAACTTTATTTAACCGAGTGCTGACGGTATTCTCATCTCTTCACACCTTCATTTATACATATAAATATAGTTGAAGTGTTTCTCTGTAATATTGAAGTAACTGGCTTCTATTAAGCTCAGGGGGTTATTTGCATGCTATTAAGACATATTATATAACATTTATTTTGAATTTTTGTTTGTCTGTCAGTCTTTTCAGGCTAATCTTCAAAATGGCTGAACCGATTATGACGTAACTTTACGAACATGTTGAGAGCAACGCTAGGATATCTAGGCTATATTTTATAAGAAACTTTTGAATTTTTTTTAATACTAAAAATTGTTGAAATAATTGGCCTTTGATTATCTTAAATTGAAATAACGCCACATTAATACATCCTATCCAGGCGAAGCCGGAACGGGTTGTCGGTATTAAATATTTTCATGCTTGTATTCTCTGAGCTTGTTGTAGCCCGTATGAATTGAACAATTTAGTTGCTGCTTTCAGTACCGTTTTCAGCGTCATTAATATCAGTTTCACTGAAGTATATGGTACATATTATTGTGTTTTTTTTTAAATAACATTCTAACGCTAAATAATCCGACAGTTTTCATCACCCGATTTTCAGCTCCTATTACAGCTAACTCATACTTTTATCGTATGCGAGGACCAGGATGGAATGCCCAAAAGCCTGTCATTATACTGATCGTATACCTATATATCCTTCAAACTGGTACACAGAAGAGGAATAAAATGAATTCTCTATTTAGCATTGTGGTTTATTCACGCGGTACAACTAACGAAGAGGCTTTCTTTTCTATCTTGCACTTCAGCTTATATTTAAGGTATGGTAAGGTATATTGCCCCGGATTCGATACCGGCCGGTACCAATGTAATTGTTAATTGCAATTTTAAGTGCTGATTTACCACGTGCTTTGCAGTAAAGGAAAACATCGTAAGGCAAAATTGCATGTCTGAGAAATAAGAAAAAAAATATTTTCACGACATCTGAAGTTCGTCAATATGCATTGGGGCAGCGCGGCGGACACTTCCTTGTCCTAAAAACCCTCTCAAAAATGAGAGGAGGCCTGTGCCCAGCAGTGGGCCGTGTATAGACTGTAACTCATTTTTAATGTTTTTTTTTTATAGGATAAGGGTGACAAACGAGCACACAGTCCACCTGATGGTAAGTGGTTGCTGTGGCCCATAGACATCTACATCTATCTTCGATTAAGAATCAAAATGCAGATGCGTTGTCACCCGTGAGGACTAAGATGGAATGCCTCGTTTCCAGTAAAAATGGTCTCCGGTTCTCTACACTCACCATACGAAACACAGCAGCGTTAAGCTGCTATTTTACGCTGGTATTCTGTGAGAGCGTGGTCCTAACCGGTCGAGCCGACCCATTCGTGCTACAACCATAATATAGCTGCAGCATGCCTCTACCACGTATAAGATTTTCATTATATACGTATGTTAAATTCTAATACACAAACTTAATTATTGATATTTTGTTTTATACTTTCTGTACAAAATATATATGGTGCGTCTTTTAGTAGTCCCGTAACCACTGAATGACCGTTCGAGGTCATATTTATAATATATTTGTTATTTTTTATACAATGGTTCATAACTATGCTAGGAACCGGTAGGTGGCTTTATAGTCAAGTTATTATCAAATGCTATTAACGGAGTGAATGCGGATTAAAATGGAAAAAAGCATAACAGCGTCTACCAAAAAAGAAAAATTTAGACCGACACCGACCGGTCTTTTTATTTTTCCAAATTACTTAGCTTTATTAAGTTATTAACACAGTTTCACAGTGGAGTAGCACGGCCGACTCTTTCTAGTAGGTACGGTTCTCTCAGAAAATGCGGAAAACGCTAAACGCATAGGTAGAATTTAGTGGTTTTAATTATCGAAGATCAATTTTTCGCATTAAAAATAAGCAAATATTGTTAAAGAGATAATATACACTAAACGCAATTGATTATTAAATATTAAATTGATCGTTAGCATGATTACATTATTATATTATAAATTCTAATAAAAAGTTTTACTAACTTTTGTTATTTAAGTTTTGTGTGGACATTTATTGTAAAAAAGAATATCGAGTAATAGAAAGTGTTTATATATTTCTTATTATCACAGGTATTCTTTGAGTTTAACGTACCTACTAAACGACCGATCGAATTTCCCGCTAAAAAATAACTTTTTTATTAAAGTTAATTTTTATTGATAATATAAATAATAGGCTTTATTATCACTTCATATATTTTTAAATTCTTGAGATAATTACGATAACTTAGTCTTTACCAATTTGATATCACTTAAGCATTATCAAAAAGTTTCAGTTAATCGCGAATACAACTGCCCTATGCTTGTAATCTAACAGAATTCTGAACCAATGAGAAGTGCTTATGATGTGATTTTCGCGCTGTTTCATTGGTTCATGTTGACGTGATTTCTATTTTTGTCCCCAGCGAGTATGCGCGCGCTGAACGGGTTGCGCGTGTGTGAATCGGTATACAGAGCGCGCATGTGTGATTGTGTTGTTGGGCCGCGCTTGGCTCTCTCTGTTTACCGCGCGGTACTGTTGCCGGCGAGCGCTTCGTACTCGCGTGTGTGTCGTGCCAAAATCGAATTTTCCGACGGCAGCTGAGATGCATTATCGTTATTTAGTGTTTTTCTTTATTATCGGTGCTAATTCGTGTTGGGCGTAAGAAGGGAGTCTGGCAATCAAGCGATACCGAGCGTACCTATTTCAGGCGCGACACATAAAAATTATAGGTGTTTTCGGCGGATGCGATGAATAAATTTTGCAAATCGAGTCTGTGTGTCGAAAAGAAGGTTCGTGAGCGCTATGTTTTGATCGACCGGCGTGTTGTGGCTGTGCCGGGTGGTGTGGATGCGTTCCGGCATACTCTGGACTGCTTGATCTCTGCGAGACTACATTTGTGCAGTAATTTGTTCTGGCCGCTCGGTCTTGGACGATCCGTGGCCTGGACGAACGGAGTTTCGCTGCCAGCTCTACATTTTACAGCAGGCACGTGCTAAGGTAAAGCCTGTGTCCTTGCTATTAATCGTACGTTTTGGTCCTGTGATTGACTCTATACCGCAGCTATAGCGCTTATTAATTGTTAATAATAATAATAATAAACACATTGAGTCTTTTTTACATTATTATGATTAAAGTTCATTTTTTAACTCTCGTAGTATTTTATACTAATAAAACATTTTTTTATTATTGGTTACAATCAAACAATTTTATGTGACAAACTCTTAAAGGTGCTACATAGTACATATATAGGTGCCAGACCGTAAATAGCCCACTGTTGGACTTTTCCATAGGAAAGAGAATTTTTCGTAATCACTACTTGGCAGGCGGATTAATGGTCGCAGTACCAGATGTCTTGCACGCTGACACTACTTCTTTTTGCCGACCTAGGAATTATATGTCAATTAAATATAAAATGATTATATGGCCATCTAAAGAAGACTACAAAATCTTGGAGGCCTATACTAGGCGTTGAAATTATGGCAAATCTTTCTGTCAGTGAACCAGTAGGAAGCTTTTGTTCAGCTATGGTCAATAATTACAAATTGATGTAGAAGTTCTTCTATGCAAAAATTTATAAAATATATTTATCATAAGCCAGTGTTTGACTTGAAGTTCCATCTGATGGTAGTGGTGATTTAGCCGATGGTAAAGCGCACTGGTTTCGATTTATAAATCCAATTTACTACCTTTACCTCCTAATGTTTGTGATAAAACTTATAAGCATGGATTATACCATTACCCGTGTGGAAAAGGTTCTTAGCTGGTTTTATTTTAAACTAGAAATGCATTGTTAACATATGAGTAAAGGCAATAATAAAATACAGATGGATCGATAACACAGTAGCTAAGCGCTAGGTTATGGTGCTAATTTCTGCAGATTCAACATCCGCATGAACAAATAATTGCATAGTCGACAAAAAAACTGCAACCTTGCTTCGAAGATCGTACACAAAAATCTACTATCGTAATTTATCGCAAGCTAAAACCATATTGTTTTATCAAAACATGTTGAATGTTTTCCGTCGGTTATTTGTTGCGCGGAGTTGCTTACTGCGAGCATAAGGACGGATCATTTTAAACTTTGTAACTATTTTCACGACGAATGAATGACCTTGATGTGTTACTTAGTGCGGTTATTGATTTACAATGATCACGCTTATTGTTCTAGTTTAAGGTAAAAAAATAAAGGCCTTGAATTAAAAGAAATGATGTTCAGAATAGGATAATTTGCTCGAACTTACATCTTACGCCAGCAGTTTGTTGGTAGCTTCGCATAGAGCTAAGCATAACATATTATGCTTAATCTTAAAATATAAATATTATGACTAAAGAAGTTTAATAGTGATATCTATAGAAAGTTACCTTTTTACGAATTTTAATGTAAAAACAACCCATAAAATGACTCTTTTCGACATGGCATCTATTACTCTACGTGTAAATCAGTATAACTTTTCCGTCTCTATAAGAAGTGACTCTACAATTTTCGATAACAATACTTACTATCTGCGAATATATTTTAAAGCTGGTAGCTTTGCATAGAGCTAATAACATATTGTGCTAAATGTTAAAATGTCAATATTTATATTATAACTCCTATATTAAACGAGATTAATAGTGATATATTGAATAAGAACTTTATATTTTCCGATTTTAATGTAAAAAAACCCTTGAAATGACTCTTTTCGACTCTGCATCTGTTACTCTTTAACCTAATTAACCTAATTCAGTAACATTTTTCCGTCTCTATAAGGAGTGAAGGAGACTCTACAATAATTTTCGACAACAATACTACCTACAAATATATTACTTGATCATTTTGCTAGTAGCTTGGCATAGGGCTAATCATAACATATTGTGCTAAATGTTAAAATAACAATATTTGTACATATTATGACTTCTACATAAACAAGTTTAATAGTAGATTTCTATAGAACGTTACATTTTTCGGATTTTAATGTAAAACTACCATAATACCAATAAATGACTGTTTTCGACTCGGCATCTGTTACTCTACGTAAGTGACTCTACAATTTTCGACAGCGTTTTGAGCATATCGGGTTGATATAAATCACAAAGATGTCTACTGCTAGCTTAAAGTACGGACTTATTAATCAAAAAATTACTAATTTACTTTATAAGTCTATTTCTGTATTTCAGCAATATGACACAGTACCTACCTATATATTGCACATTGATTATATACCTTTTCTTTTATGATATATAGACTGCTTAGTTGGTGTAGTGGTCAACTGCAAATCGTATGATTCCGGGTTGAGCCAAAATTAGTTATTGGTTTTGCTATTAAGAAAACCTCAGTAGCAGCCTGGAGATAGGAATTTGGCGGTGTCACAACCCAGCGCCTCGGAAAGCACATAAAGCCGTTGGTTTTGCACATAATCTTCCTCCGATTGTGTCGTATTTACGTCCCGTTGGACTATAAGAATGATGGAATAGAGAGTGAAATATGTGCTTGCGTAAACACTCACGCACTATAATCCAGACCTGCGCAGCCTCCCGAAGTTCGGTCTGGAGGACATTATTATTGTTAATTTTTCTACAATTTATAATCATTCAATCAAGTGATCAAACCATTACATTCCGCAAGTTATTGTTGGCGTGCAGTTTTTCTTCATGAAATTATATAGAGACAAAAAGATTTCATGTCATTTGTTAATAACAATTTTAATACAATAGCAACAGTGGAAATAAATAGATGCAGATTTTAAATGTTGTCTGAACAAGGATTTGCTAGAAATATATTCCTACACTTTTTGCTTAGAAAAGTAAGCTAAAATATAAAAAACAAAAAGTGCATAACTTTTGTCGATTGTTTTATTTTTTATTTTAAGTACTTAGAGGCTAAACTAAAATAACACAATTAGTTTATATCTTCGTATCCTACACGCCGTATTTATATTCTTACAAAATTCTCCAAAGCTTATTTTTATTAATCAGTGACTTAAATCTCATTAATTTATGTACTAGTATAATCAATTTAAAACTAATAATTTAAAGCAATAAAATTAAGGGTAAGTTTTAATTAAATACTTGAAATGTACTAATTTCATATTAAAACATTGTTACACGCGCATTCAAAAACCTACAATTTATTTTAATTGCTAGCTTTTTATATAGCTACTAAATATGTTAAAAAAGCTGGTTAATTTTTATATAGCTATTAAAAATGTTAAAAAGGCTTGTAAATTGCTATATAGCTTTTAAACATATGAAATAAAGCTAGTTAATTTTTCGAGGTTCCAAGTGTAAAATTCAAGACGAGCTCAGGCGTGGAATGCATTTTTTTATTTTGTTATTCGTTTAATTGTTATGTTTTAAGATTGTGGAATGACTGATGGCGTAATAATGCACTGTTCTCGAATTCGCCTTGCTTGTGGGAACACGTAAATAAATATCAAATATGTATAGAAAAGTCTGCCAAATCAATCTTTCTGCATCATTTCGTGAATTTATACGCTAGCAACAATATTCCAAGCGAATTTTATTTGCCACGTTTTCACCGTGTTTTCTTTTTCATTTCTAAAGAAATATAGTCTTCTTCTTTGAAATAAAGTTAAAGTTACAGCCTATATACGTCCCACTGCCGGGTAAAGATTTCCTCACATTTCTAAGAGGGTTTTAGAGCAAACAAATGTCCGCCGCAGTGCCCCAATGTGTTTTGACTAACTTCACATGACTTCGAAATATTTTTTTTATTATATTTCAGACATGCAAGTTTCATCACGATGTTTTCCTTCACCACTGAGCACGTGGTAAATCAGCACTTAAAATTATAATTAACAATTTCATTCAGCGGGAATCCATTCCGGCTTGCTCGCGTAGTGTGAAACAACGAGCGTTTAGCCCCTGAACTACCACGGCTTTTTATCGTCAAATAATTTCAAATCGACCCGTATACTCGGCACACATATGAAATAAATTGGGCTTAAACAATTCATGAATGAGTTTAGTCACCCACGCTGCTCGGCTGTTTTATGGCAGGCCGCGAACGACAGTCAAAAATAATTATTATAGCATTGCATTGAGCGTTCTCCGTACCGGTTCCCAACTGAAAAGTTGCCTTGTTTCCAGGGCTACCATTTGCTTATGCGCATACTTAATTTCATTTTCATCAATTTTAGCAGCGCGTTGGACTTCTCCTAGCCCTAAAACCTTCTCAGAAGTAAGAGGAGGACTGTGCCCAGGAGTGGGACATAGTAGGCTGTAATTTTATACTTAATTTCCCGTATCTTAGCAAGTAAACTAAAAATTACAGTTAATAAAGAGAACAGAAAAAAATTATCTACGACAATACCGTTGTGTAATAATATAATAGTTAAATATTTTACTTAGCCGCGTAGAGGCGGCGTAAGAGAATACCTCATCCAATGGAGATGGGCAGCAGCATCTTTCTCCCCCAGCCAAGCGCGGTAACTATGCCATATATATACACTATGAGGCAATCTATGGGAGAGGCTTAAGGTCACAGCTCATTAGAGCCACCCCGCACGCGACCCTCACCGCCTCGCCTCGAGCGGTTCGTATTCTTCGTATGGATTTGTATGGGCCTGCGCTCACTACATCAACTCCGTATCATCACCGGATCACCTCACTCGCGAGGTGTCCACGCGTGGACAGCGAGTGGACCACTCGATGATAGCTCGCTGTTGGCATGCTTGCCTCGCGTGAAGCGCGAGCTGGCAACGCGCGGTTCACGCGAGTGTGATGCGGCGCTCTCCACCAACCCTTCATTTCGAGCCTTTCTTTCGAATGTGTCGGATGTGTTCACCCTCTTTTTTTCTTTCTTTAAACATTTCGTGCACCCAATAAGCTTTCTTTTTTTTGTTTCGTTTTTCATTTTCATCATCATCAACACTGACAGCTATGAGGGCTAATTCACGGATTGTAAAATTTCACATTACTGAACACACGTGCAGACCTAGGGCCAAACGCTGGTAGACGACTCGGAAATTCGTTGATCACGCGAGGTTCACTGGTGA